AGCATCGAGTTGTGAAAGATGGGCAAAATAAAACCAATATACAAATAACGAAAAAATAGACGATTGTTTCGAATAAGGTAATATCAATTAATACAGGGTATTTATTAATTTAGTGCCGATAGAACAAAGTATCAAAAGCAGTTTCAATAAACTTAAAAAAAAATTTTTTGTTTTTATTTTCTTACGCAAAAAGGTTGCATCGTATGAAAGTACATCTATAAACCAAATTTGCTCCAAAATAAATAGGGATTTTAAAGATAATTTTGGTTTTTAGAAAAAGCAGTGGCGTACCTTATTTTTCTTAAAAAATATTCAGTTCAAACCCGGTACGGACGTCACTGGTAAAAATTTTAAAAAGATTTTTACGACAAAAAGACGGGATTAAAAGTGAAAGTTTAGTCCGTTGGTACATAATATACTATATTTATATATCTAATTTTTATTATTACACTGTATGTGACATGGCTTTTTTGTTTGCCTTTTTTGGATTAACAAAATATTATTTTAATGATTTAAAATAAGCTGCCAGTAATAATAATAATAATTATCTGTACCTAAATATATACAAAGTGAAATCATCAAGAAAGCAACCAAATTATTGAACTTTTTTAATCTACGTAACAAGTATTAAAATTAATTTTAAAAAACCGACTTCAAAATCATGCAGATGGTATCACCACATCTTAACCAAATTTATAAGGGACCACCCCTGAGGTATCCCTTACTAACAAAAAAAAAGAATCCTAGAATTATCGCTAAACATACATAAAAAATGAAGAGTTTGAGGATTTTCTCATGGACCTAATTATTAGATTTTAACCAAATATGACACATCCCTGAAGTACTCCCGTTCCAGCAAAAAAGAATCCTTGAAATCGGACACCGTGTTAAAGAATTATCGTTGAACATACATAAAAAAAATATATTACGACGAATTGAGAACCTTCTTCTTTTTTCAAGTCGGTTAAAAAGGATATAATAAAATATATTAATTGTATTAACTAAAAACTACTATATGGGATTATATAGATTTTTTAAATTAATTTTATATGTAAAAATGTGGGTTCGGTTTCTAGAAGAGTACCTAGTTCACTGCGCAGCCAAATTCATATTTATGGTACAGAATTTTTTAAATAAATAAAGTTTAAGGTTTAATTAAACATCAAGTTTTATCAGTAATGACATTTTCTGAAAGAGTAACAAGAAAAAGTTTTCCATATAAAAAGCAGACTGTTTGCGAGCCACTATATATATATATATTTTAGAGGGCAATCCATATTATATTGAAAAAATAAATAAAATTTTTGTATAATCACAAAAATGTGGTTTATCTTTTAGAATATTGTACTTATATGTTTATTAAAATTTACTATTTTTTGTAAAAAAAGAATTATATTCTTCAAAATCTTTCTTAAATTTTTTAACAGGTACAAAATACCTTAATCCGTTTATAATTATCGATTTTAAACAAGAGGGAGACCGGATATCGTCGAAGAGAAACAGCGAAATTAATAAAGAATTGTAACTCGATTAAAAAACGTTTTTTCTCTTTCAATTTTCTACAAAAAAACTAATAGACCTTTTTGAAATCGGTTTTCGGTGACTTTTCTTCTGATTTATTGCCTTGAAAATGATATGATTTACGTAAAAAAACAAAAAAACTGACCTATTATTTCAACTCTATCATAGAATTTGTTTTTTTAATTCCATCCAAATTTGCAGCAACATAATCAAATTCGGATTCAATAAAATGTCCACATAAAAAAATTTTTCTTGCAAATAAATTTCCAAATCTTATTTTGCTCTAAATTTATGGTCCATACCATATCGGGTGGCTTTAGCAATAAATAAAAGATTTTAGATTTTTTACAAATTTCTCCAAATTTTAAAACAGTGATTCCTTTTAGTCTTTTATTGTGCCACAATGCACAATCAGCTTGTCACAATCGTTTTTTTCTTATCTATAGACATTGGCTTATATTTTAGAAAATCTTCTCTTGCAATGCGCCTCATTAATAATTATTGTTAACTCGAAGAGGTATTCATTAAACAAAAAAAACCGTGCGATATAAAAGTTAAGCAAAAACATATGTTTATAATTCACATCTGTGTATACCTTTTAATTTTGGATAATTTTTTTAATAAATAAATGATAAAATTATTTTAATATAATTGAGCGAAATTACTGTATGTAAAAAATAACAAAATGAATTCAAATCACTAAATAGTAGAAAAAGATATATATTTTGTTGGTGTCACCCTCTAGACGAAAAAGCTTTCAATGTATTTCTATTTTTATTGTAAGAAAAATAAATGCTCCTGTAGGCAAAAATTAAATATATTGTTCCCTTCCAGCATTTTTTAACATTTCTATTTCTTTTCTTTTCTCAGATTTTTTTCGGAAGAGACTGATTCAAATTTTTAAAGTGACTCCAGAAAGGTACGGGTTTAGGCCTTTACCTGTACTTACATAAATTTTCTATTGGTATAAATAAAAAATAATCCGTAAAATTGGTGTACTATGAAACCCTTGCATATATTATATATGCCAATCTTAGTATTACAGAAAAGATTTTCTTTAAAAATAAGGTGTACAAATAGGTAAAATTTATTTATCCCTCGTAAAACATCAGTAAAATATATTATAAATTGTTTTCATTCACAAATATTAATTTCTTAAAATCTAACATTTTCCAGACGAAAAATCTTGCAATGTAAGAGTTTCGTAGTACCCCATTTTGTAAAGTTTATTTTTGACTATTTTTAAAGGAAAAAAATATGTACGTGTAGGTAAAGGTTCAATCTATGCTTATCTGGAACCACTTTTTTAAAATTCAATTTAGTTTTTTCTAAAAAAAATTGAGAAAATGGGTAAAAAAAGTCGAGTTTTGTATTTTTTTTTATAAAAAACTATCAAATTTTGAAAAAGTGACTCCAGAGGAGCACAGATTTAACCTTTACCTATACGTACATATTTTTTTCTTTTAGAAAAAGTCAAAAATAAACTTTAAAAGTGGGGTACTACGAAACCCTTGCATCCTCCGCGCTACAGCCAAGTAAATACTCCTCTTAAGATTCATACAATATTTGTGTATACCTGCCATTAACCTTACAATTGTTATATCAAATTCAAAAGACTTTTATTCAAAAAGAATTCCTACATAATCAAAAAATAAATCACAGCGGAACAGTAGTCACTACCACAAACGAAATATAGATCTAAATAACATTATGATATTATGTATACTTAAAGTAATTACTTGAAATTACTTGGTTGAGATTCAAAATATATTTATACTACCACATAGGTATTAGGTATTTCAAATTGCAACTAAACGAAAACAAATCTATTTGAGACAAAAAAGCAATAATAAGTAGGAAGGTAGGTAGGTATAATACCTACCTATCTAAATATACGTTTTTATGAATAAAAAGGAGTTGTTTTTGTATTTGAATTTTAATTATGGAGTATTAATTACCTTTTATAACTATAATTTCACTGTTTTAATTATTATACATTCAATTTATTAATTAAAATTGATATTACTTCAGACGAACTGACGCTGCTGTCAAAAAGAAAAACAAATGAAACACGTGTAAATTGCGCATGCCTAATACCAAAGAGCGACTTTGGAAAGATTAAATAATTTCCATTTAATTGAATATCTAAACAAGACTTATATGTATGACTTAAACTTGGGTTTAAATTATTAAATTACTATTACCTACAATGTATAACATGATTTTCTATCACCTCACAAAATAGGCTTTAAAAACTGAAATAAGGACAATATACGTATTATACACTAATGTAATGTTCACAATAAAGCATTGTTTGATACATTTCACTACTGATAGATGCAAACGCTTTCAAAATCTCAATCCTTCTAAAAGAAAAAATGTTAACTCATGCGTACCTATTATGCACATAAAAACCTGCAGACTGAATTATTGCAAGATATATTAATAATTGTTACCTTAATATTATTTCAGTTTTATTTTGATGCACTTTACAACATAAATCACCTTTAGTGTTTAAAAAATCATAAAATAAACACAAACTGTCAATAATCAAAACAAACGAAGCATGTGGAGTTTACGCATGTCAAATGAAATTACGTTAATTTAGATGTTTATATCTCAAAATTCAACTAAAATTTAACTTTAATCCACCGATTTTAACTTGCAACTATTATCAGATTTATAAATAATGATTTAAATGTAAATTACCTATACCTTTTTCATTTAATTTCCCAGTATAGCCAAAATAGGTAGTTCACTATCAAACAAAATAGCTGCTATTATAGGTAGCTACCTACCTATTTAAAAGTCGAATTCATTTTATTCAAAAATGTCTTTATTATTAAAAGTATACTTACTCAATTAACACATTACTATTGCTTTCACTCACACTAATTCATTTTTATATTCCTTAAAGATTTAAAACAACTTTTCATATTGTAATGGGTAAACGCAGAGTAAAAATCAACGTCAAACGTCAATTTTCTGCAACTGCCAAGTCATGCGCATTTAAATTGTTGCAAACTACCAGGGACGGCCTCAACAATAGTGGCGTTATTTGGGCAGGAGCTGGTACGGGACAGACCGGAATTTTTTAGGGTACTTTTAAATGACTTTTAAGAGTGTTAAACTGTCACTTATCGGACTAAACCGAACGCTAAAAGGGTCGTTTGGAGTAAAAAGTGTTAAAGGAACTTGGCAGGCCGAGCACAATGAATATGGACTCATTACATTCGTGAAAAAAGTTTATTTAAAAGGGTATAAAATTAAACTTTATCAAACACGAAAAAATACTCAAAAGTAGAGAGACCCTCAAAAATATGAGATTTTTAATTTTTTCACATTTTTTCAATGTTGCGTCACGAAATTTTGCTAGCAAACCTCAAATTCCGATTCACAAAAAAAATCATGTAGAATAGAAGAAATCAGTACCCCCAAAAAATTTCCTGTATTATAAACATATATTTATCTTGTTGCAGATGTCTTGTAGCGTTACTGAGCGAGTACCGGATAACAGAGCGGCAGTTGTGGGTCCCCACGGAACAGCAGGTCCTACAGGGACAAACACCGTCGGTGGGTCAGGATGTAGGCTGAGAGGCACAGGCGCCAGTAACTCAAGTTTAACAACATCGCCAAATTCGAGAGGCAGCATACCAGCCTCGGCAAGTGCTCCACAGAATGGCCCCCAACCGAGTGCTCAAGGCTCTACGCTCAGACCAAAGCCTTGCTGCTTGTTATGGTGCTGTTGCTGCAAATGTCCCTGGTATGTTAGCATATATTTTTTTAAATAATCTTACTATAAAACCACTTTGTATAATTATGCTTAAATAACTCGGTTCCTAATATTGAAACCATATTAGAAATCGATAATTTTAAATAAACTTTCGTGTCGTGTTTACCTTCACAAAAGCCATTCCACATTCCATAATGAAATTATTGAAATTTACATAAAATATACCGCAAAATAGGTTGTCTGCTGCGTAGAATCCACTTGTGAATGAAATGATGAAGCTGGAATAAATTAACTCTAAATTGGAGAAGTATAATTAAATTTTGTTTTCCAGCGGCAAATATCAATCTGAATCTGCTCGAATTAATGGTTGCCATGAATACATGGAAATCGCATTTTATGAATGAACGCTGCTTTTAAGATCTTTTGTAAACGAATCAGTTTTATCACCGTAATATTACGAACAAAATATGCACCTATTATTATTGACCAATAGTGAATAACAGTCTTAGACACAATGGGAATTGAGGAGCCATGAGTCTTAGACACAATGGGAATTGAGGAGCCATGAAAACAGCACCAAAGTCATGGAAGTCATTCTTAGTCTCACTCTCTTTGATAATTATTACATTAAGGAGGTTGGATGACAATGACATGACTCCGAACGGTTGAAATAGAACCTGATGTAAAATCTGGTGAGACGAGATGTGTTCATCTATACAGATAATAGACAAGCATTACTCACCCTGGAAGAACCACAAAATTACTCAGGGATAGTACTTGAATGCCACGAAACTTCGGCCGAAGTATCCATCAACAACGTGGTCACTTTAAGATGGACGGAAGGTCACACTACAACGAAAGGTAACCCGTCTTGCTAATTCACTACCCAAGAATGCAGTCAACTAAACTTTTTGGACCTGGCCCTTCCATTGGTCTGACAACATCGGTAGTGACAAAACTAATTGAAGATTATTTCCTTAGGTATGAAATTCAAGAAAATCTGGGATGAAATAAGTAGCTGCAGAGTTGCCTGTTACAGAATCTGCGCCAGATCAGAGGTATTCTAACTGCTCATTGCCAAGTACGGAAGCATCTCCATAGAAGAATGGGGCTGTCAGAATCCGCACTCTGCAGGAGGTAGAAACAAGATGATGAGATCATCAATCCTATCCGAGTTTTGGCTAGTACCGGCCTATATAAGAGAAGCACCACTCAGCGACGTTGTCAACTAAAGCTAATATTTAGGCTAGCTAACGAACTAAGAGGACCTATCAATTGACGAGGATGCACAATGGGCCAAGTAAGGCATAAATGCCACCTTATACACGTTACAGATACAGACAGATAAGATGATCAGTACAGTATTGGATATGGGTAGTGATCGTACCTGTCGTTTATACATGTTTAAAGCGAGACCTGCGAAATCCATAATGCGCAAATTAATCACTAATTTTTTTTACAGTTCAACGCCAGGTAACAAATCAAACGATGATAATGGACCCACAAGAAACTCAAATAATTCTGATGCCATGGCAAACTGCGAGTTGGAACCACCGTAAGTTCAAAAGCCATTTTGTTTTTTCTCTGCCTAAACTAAACATTGGTTTTTTAGTCCATCAATAGAAGAAATCCGCAACTGGGGCAGATCATTCGATAAACTTATGAGAAGTGCAGGTAACCAAAACTATCATTAACTATATTAGTTCTGATTTTAGTTTTTTATTTTTATTTTATATAGCTCTTATTTCTTTTCTTCTGTTACTTCGTAATCATCTTATCCTTGTCCAAAATTCTAAAAGATTCTATTTTTGTATTTGTAGCTGGGCGAAATTACTTTAGAGATTTTCTAAGAGGAGAATACTCCGAAGAAAATATAATGTTTTGGTTAGCTTGTGAAGATCTCAAACGAGAAACAAATCCAGAAATAGTTGAGGAGAGAGCTAGAATTATATACGAAGATTATATTTCAATACTTTCTCCAAAGGAGGTTTGTATTATTGCAATAACTATTTCTCGTTTCCAATTTGAGGGTAGATCATTTCATTTGTTATTTGTTTAGGTGTCATTGGATGCTAGAGTACGTGAAATTGTGAATCGCAACATGGTGGAACCGACTCCACATATGTTTGAAGAAGCACAGATTCAAATCTACACTCTGATGCACAGGGATAGCTATCCACGCTTCGTCAACTCACCGTTATACCGTACGTTGTCTCAACAACAGAGTGGTTCTTCGGGTCCCCAATCTGGTGTGACAACGGCCATGGTCACAACGGTCTCTTCTGGGTAAGTACAACTATTCATTAATCAATAGTTTTCAATATGGTTAAAGCTGAAATATTGACACAACTTACAAATTTTTCAGAAACTTTTTGATCTGATCTCGTACATTTAGACGTATTCTTTGCTGTTATATCGAGCATTAACGGGTGTATTGTCAGAGCTTTTCACAGTTTTTACACACACATATGCCAATGCGGTAAAAGGAATAAAAAACTGGATGTAAACTTGAAATCGATAAAGTCAAAGCTTTCTGCTTAAAAAGCTGTCGTTTAGGTGCAAAAAAAACCTTTTAACTATTCAACATGAATCACGCTGGTTCGGAAATTAGAGCCGTAATTATGTGTTTTGTATGGATAAATATTGATCGGTGTGAGGCGTTTAAAAATCCTTGCTTTTCCATGTGAAAATAATTACTTTTATTTGATAATGTAAAGGGAAATCGATAAATGTCAGCAGGAGCGCACTAAGCAATTGGGTTCGACGCTAGAGCGAATAACGCTTTCGAAATAGTTGATATGTATTCGTCCTATAAATTATGCCTTAGAACCAGATTTGGGTTGATAATTGGTTTCATGCTGGCTGCTTAGGCCCTGACCCCCACTTTAAAATTTTTTTGTTGTTTTTATCCAGCTGCTTGAGGGATCGTTTGCAGGTTTGGACATCCTAGACTCTTATTTAATTATTTCCTTTAACCCTAGCGTTACCAGAGGTGGTTACAATTGTAGTCGGTCGAACAATTTTTACGATATTTTAATAACGGTTGACTTTTTTATTTATTATTACTAAAGGTTACCTAGTTATAGCAATAATTACAAACTTTCAAAATGAAGCGATTATAAAATAAAAATATGTAATGTGTACCTAACCGTTTCAAATTGCGGGGATGTACAGTTATTTTCCTGGATTCGTCGATTCTCATATAAGGTATTTGACTCAGGAGATCGAGCAGTGTTATCAAACTTAGCGAAATTTCGGTAGACGCAGTTAAATTTTATCAATGTAGTAGCAGTGGCCCAAAATACCAAAATGTAGTGAATTTTTACGTGAAATATTTGTTAATGCAAAAATATTAAACCGTGTAGTACATGTAAGCACATTATTTGTGCTTTTTATTCTAAAGAATAAATCTATCTAAGATAAAAATTGTAGGATTTGAATATCAACTTGCTGTTTTCATAAAAGTCTTTCATAACAGCTGTTTCATCTTTGTAAGCGATTTTAGCTCTTAAAATAAATAAATAAATAAATACCTCCTCCTAAAATTAATAAATTTTTTGACTTAGGTTCTACAGTTGTCAGGTGATCATAATTTTTAACTAGCTGTTTCACAAGGCTGGAGTCAACTGAGTTACTTGTGGTGGTTTTTCCTTTAGAACCGTCTTAGCACTTAATTTTTTTACAAGTGTACAGCGCCATATTTTTTGTCCTTCCTTTAGTTTGAATGGTTTTTTTGTTAAATTGGCAATCCTGGGATCAGTTGATCTATGTTAACGAGACATCTAGCTACCAGAATTCCTTTAATCACAGGTTATTCATTTTCCACAATGCCCACTTGTAAGCCGTGTGATATCTCGCTTCAGAATTTTGGGGTACTTCTATGTCTTCTTCCACTAGGACATTTATCGGTTGAATCTTTTCTTCCAATTTTAGATAAATTTCCACATTTCCAATTACCATTTGAATTGAAGGTCGATGATAAACTTATTTTGCATAATGTCCACACCAAGGACACACTGATCCCTAATATCGGTTACTAGAAATAAGTGTTCTATGCAGGGTTCTTGTTCGAATAAAAGACTTGGTTGCACCAGTATCAATGATGAAGGTGCCTTCTTGATTGTCGATATACCGCTTGACCAATACATTTTGTTCATTTTTGTTTAAGGTGTAAGTACGAATTTTGGGGCCATTTGTTACAACCGACGCCTGCCCCGTAGTGTCGACATTTATTAGTTTCCCTGATTATTGCTAGAAAGGCGCTAGGTGTAGGTGACCGGCTTGTCCGGGAGGCATATCTGCTCTAATTATTTCTTGTTGGACTTCGTGACGGGCTTCAGGAGATTAATCTTAGCGAATTTCTGGTACCATTCCCCGATTCTCGATTCATAAAATAAGCCCTGCTTCGACAGGTTCTTTGAAGGTGTCTGATTCTTCCGCAATTGAACCATATTCTGCTTTCATTTTGGTTATTTCGTTGCATATTTTGCAGAAAATTTAAGATTTCTGAGAGGGAAGGTTGAGGGATAGTATTAGTAGTGGCCTCTCCACTTTCCTGCAATCTAATTTCTGTCAATTTTGCGCGAGAAGATCCAGACATAATTTTTGCTGCTTCATATTCCTGGACTGCAATCAGTGTCTCACTCAACGTCTTGTGGTGCTGTAGCCGTATAACCTGCTGCATTTCTACACCCTGTAGTCCATCAATGAATGCCTGTTTACCGATTTGCTCTAGGAAATCTTTGGGCGCCTGTGGATAGGTCAGATGCAGCAATCTTTTTATATCGGCCTAATTCTTCGATAGTGCCTCTTTGACAAGTAGTAAAGTCTGAACTATAAATTCTATAATAAAACAGAAGGCATTCCAATATAGAATATAGCATATTTATAAAATATTCTAAATTAACATGTAAAGTAAGAAATTACAATGAATACTGAATAGCGAATACCAGCAATGCGAGACTGGCCGCATAGTACATGTCCACTCGTTGAGTATATAGCAAGCGATCATCGGTGTCTCAATCTATAAACGCGGGACGGAGCGCTCCTAAATTGTTAGGGTTGGGTCTGCGGCATTTAAACGCCTTTTAACTTTTACCATCTTTTTACCCAATACACTTACTTAGCCTTCATAAGGCCATTATCAACCAACATAATGCTGGGCCACTATCGAAAGGCCAAAAGTAGGCTTTTATCTTTTAATCGTTGCATTTTTACCTTCAATTACAGCAAAAGTCCAGTAATATCCCCGTCAATTTGTTTGATTTTCTTACAGGAATTACTTATTACTTTAAATTAAATCCACGATTGGGTTAAATATGATAAAGAAACGATTCAATTCAATTCAAATCAATCTTGATTTTATTGCATTTTATATTTTCCGGTTCTTCCATTATCGTACGTTTGGATGGAAAATTTGGTTATATCTGCAAGTTTATTGAATTTCAGATCTCTCAAGGGCTTTACTTCGAAAGCAGATGCATATTTTATACAATTCTAAACCGTCTTTGTTTTAATAAATGTTTCAAGGTATTTGATTCAATTTAGTTTTCAGTTTAATAAGAATAGAGATAGGCGTAGTACAGAGTATTTAAAATATTTGTTTAATCAAACTAAAATCGATACTAATCTTACCACAAAAAGGAGGGATAGGATACCATCCTAATGTATTTAACATTCGTAGGTAATTCGTAATTAACAGGCATGCAGCCCAAATGAGCTTTTTAAAATGAAAAAAGTAACTGGAAGCAGATAAAAGCGAAAAATCCTTATTGTACTTATTCGTTAAGTGGCATCACTGAAGTAAAGGAGTTAGCACTTTTAACAATTTATGGCCAACTTTTGCCTTTTAATGAATACTCCCTTAGGTCTTTCTTTAAAAAAGGTTCTTTTCATTCATTAAAACGTACAAAGTGATTCTCGAGGAGATTCAAGTACACCATTCTAATTAAAAGAATGTTTCCTATAGTGGGAGTTTTTGGGCAGTGGCGCTACTTACCCTAAAAATATCACTGGTAGGTGGAGTATTTAGCTACCTTGGAGTAGCTCAATTTATTTTTATTTTGACTAACTCTCTATGTATTTTATTTTAAATTATCTTTCTGATATAGGATATAGAACAGGGGTGGTCAACAAATCGATCGCGATCGATTGGTCGATCGCGAGGCCAATTTTGGTCAGTCGTCGATCGCTCGCAATGTCTAGGGTGGAAATTTGTGCACCATTGACTTTGAAGCGATTGTAGGAGACAAAACTTTCTAGCAATAGTTTAACGCATTCTGAGAATTTGCCAAGGTCATAAGCTCCTAGAATTCTGACAGCCTGACACTGTGATCTCCGCCTACCCAATACAATATATTTTAACTTATGTGTTACACAGTATTACCAACCAATTTTAGCAGATATTCCCACACAAGCGCAAAAAAACTCCCATTTTTTACACACAAAATTTTATAATTCCCACAATTTTTCACACATCGTTTTTATTTGAAATCAGTTCCTGAAAAAAATATATACATTTTGTTTTATAAAAACATATTTAAAATTAAAAATAACAGAATAAACGTTAAATAAACAACAGTAAAAGTACCTACCTAATCTGGTAAAAAATAGTAAAATAAATATACTCTTTGGTAAAAAAAAGTTGTAATATAAAAAAAAGTACCGCTTATAAAAAAATTATAAAATAAAAATACGCTTTGGTAAAAAGATTGTAAAATAAAAAATCTTATTCTTTCATGATAAATTTTCCTGGCCCAAAAAAAACGCGAAAATGAACTATTTAAAATTATCAGCCATACTGTGCATTTTTATAAGTACTTTTTCATATTTAGAACAAATCGTCAAACAACTTATACATTGCAATAAATTTCATTTTAAGTTAGTAAAAATCTATCTTGAAAAAGTGTCGGAAAATCGAATTCTTTAGGTACGGAAAGCTGCTATTAATAGTTGGGTCTGGAAATTGATTTTCTTCATGAACCCATATCTCGAAAACTTAATAAGTGATTTAAAAAATAGTTTTGAATATATTTTACTCATCTACCCATACCTTCCTGGAATTCACCTTATACCGAAATACAGTGTAAGTATACATTTCAAACCGCTTCTTCCCACTTAGACTACGCCAGTGACGTGTGGTGACATTTTTGGAAGGAAAAGCGATTGTATAAGGCGAACATTTTTGACGGCGCATTCACCGTTTTGTCAAAATCTTGCTTTTTTTTCCTCACTACTACTGATATTCGAGATTGAGATTTTTGAAGTGTTCCTATTACTTTATTACCTAGTTTAGTACTAGAAGCTATAAAAAAACTTACCATTGAAAAGCTTCCTTGGTTTATTTAAACGTAAAAAAAAACATTTAACTGAAGTTTTTTTTATTTTGTCTCACTTATCACAACAAGATTTTTGGACAACCTAGGTATATCATTTAAAACTAGAAATCAGAAACTTTTACAATGCTTCTACTAATAATAATCTAATTGTTTGTTGTGTTACAGGGACCAGGACGGATAAAGCCGTCCCAAATTCCACCAAGGCGGCCTAACGAGAGACCCGACAGTCGACAATAACCTCGGCGGGCGACGGTCGACTATATACAGGGCGTCTACAGCAAGACAGCCATCGGCCGGCGCCTCCAGCCGATTCTTCGGAGCATTCCTCGCACAGTGCACAGTGACATGTGACCGCTTTAAACCACAGCGCCGCACAAACCCCATATTTAATACAGGACGCTGTGAGATGTGTTCGTAAAGCTGTTAAAACTTTCGGCACATGGTCACTTTGTACCATAGCAATCATTATTATTCTGGACTGGACCTCATAGTCGCTCACTTCTTAAAAAATTAGTGTTGTGTAATAAATAACGAAACAAATTATTATGGTTTATCTCACCGCAAGCTGGGTAAAAAAGTTGGATGGTATCAAATGAGATACCATTTCGATCGAACTAACTAAATTTTTATACATATTTACATGGTGTCTCACTGCTATTAGGGAACGTTTACTCACAATATGGCTTATAGTTCAAATAACCTTCTATACCAATATGTCATTAGATTCGTTCTTTTTTCATCCAGAAACACTATATACCAGTGTTTCGAAACTAGATACTAGAATGACAAACCTTCTGAATTTTACCGTGATGTAAATAACTTTACCAAAATCCATTGTCATGGCACTTTATTTGAATAATACATACCTACTACGTAGGTAGGCAAGTTATTTGGACTTTCTTTATTATGCCTTATTCCACATGAAGATCTTTCCAGGCAGTCTTGAGACATCTTGTAGATGCCTAAAAATGGGTCATTTGCACAATCCCCTTTTTGGCTGTGTCATGTGTTAGCACTTAGAATTAGTCTAGTATTGTAGAACTACACAAGAAGCTTTCCATAATTCGTAATAAAAATTAAAAGAATTATTGAATACTACTTTAAGGCCAATATATATCAGATTAGGCAAATGATACCTGTCAACATGCCCTTACTAGTCTTTTTTACATTTTCCAATTTTACTCATTTTTTTTACTGTCACTTGGTGATGTTTTAAATGCTCAATTTTACACAACCAATGTAGACTTTCGTACCATGTGTAGGTTTTAATATTGGTTTATTTAATTAAATATGGCATAATTCCGTTAGAGATTGGGTTAACCAACAGGTGACTGAGTAAATTGACCAAATATTTTAAGAAGAAACTCACAAAAATATCGTAGATACTAAATTCATCAATAATCCTAATAAGATAAAAATTTACAGTATATTATTTGCTGGTTATATTTCGAGTATCGCTATAGACTTAGTGACCCTTATTAGAACATTTAGATCAGATTACACTTCTAGGTATCCAAGAGAAGTAAAAAGCGACATTGGTTTTTACTAGTCTCTGTGTTTTCGGTTTTTCTAAAAATTGCTGTACAAAAGGCATCGAAAGTCTTTGTTTGACAGAAGAACTTCTTAAGTTCTATGATCATCACATTTTTTATTCCTTTACATCTGGTGGTACTATCCATGTATTAGAAATGTCGGCCATGTAAATAAATAATTTTGACATTACGATAAAACTAAGTTCTTCAAACACATCATTAAATATAAGAGAATTATTTATTCACAAAAAGTTGTGAGTTAATTGCAATATCTGCTCATTTTACAAAAAAAAATTCATAAGATTTATTCGAAAATTCGATTATTTGGAAGTGTGCTCATTTTTAATTTCACTAAAATCTCAATTTAAGAGACAAAATGCATTTTGTACTATTCGTCTTCTAGAGAATCAAGATCTTGGAGACTAATTTATTGATCTAAGAACTAAGACCAGTTATGAACTATCAGCTGAGTCCTGACCAAACAACCTTTATAAGCAAAGTAACCTTGGTTTGCTTCAAATTCAATTGTCGTTCTAAAGAGGAAGTTTTAAAGTTGATGCTCTAAAAACTAAGCCTACACTTTTGAGGAGATCACATAAGGTGACATGAGCACGAGAGTGTAGTTAGTGTTCTCGAATCTTGCCTCGTCTTGCCTCGTCAACTCCCAGATGATGTGAGATGCGAGAGTGTAGAGGTAGCATAGATTAAAGCACATCTTTGTAGACAATTAGAACGGACATTCATCTTAATTATATGGATACTCTGTACTAAGAGCTGCAAATGATCTTCAAAGATGAATTTCAAGATACTTATTAGGGTTAAACATGAAATGAACACAGTCAGCAAAATAATTAAACAATTTTTTGAATTGGTCTGTTTGTGAATTTTTAGAGACAAACTAACTGACGCTGCTTTGAGACGTAAAAGACTTATAGGTATTATATAATAGATGTGATGTAATATAATATATGTTCTTAGTATGTTGACACGGAGTCAAACAAATGTATAAACCTGGATGTCAGTTTTGTAATAATTGTTTATAAGCCTTAAGAACAGGTTTAAACTAGGATAAAGGAACTTGATTTTTCCGACATTTTTTTACAAAATTTTTAGACAACAGAGTTAGACGTAAGGTTATAAATTTAAATGTAACAATGCAAAAAATGCTCTCTTATAGGCGATAGTCATAGACTGCTCATCATTGAAAATAAATAAGCTTGATTGACCATGCTTAGAAATAAATATGAGTGGTACCATATACCTCTGTCGCTTATAACAGAGTTCCAATTGAAAATCGTATACCTATAGAGATTCTTTTGCACCTACACCTAACCCAATTAATAGTTATACAAAAGGAGGGTTATGGCAGGACAATATGCTAAAAATTCCGAATTTAATAATAAATAATTAGTGCAAGGAATAAGCTAAATAATCTAATGTTCTGAATATAACCTGATATTATACTACAAGAGGTCCTATTTCAGAAGTTGTAGATCTATGTACTGACTCGATTTTGGCAATTATAAGACATTTAATTCTGAAATCATATCATCGAACTTCATAAAAATGTTGTTTAAATCAATAATAATTTAGTTTTATCTTTGCTAATAACGAAGTCATTGACATTTTGATGTAAAAACGATTTTTTTCTACATTTCAGACAAGTTGGTTTATGTTTTAGGTCATGTCGTTTTAATGATAATCTTTTTTCTTCTTAAAACTTTTTTTTAATATGTAATTGGCTTGAGAAATCGTTTTAATGCAGCAAAAAATAGGTTTTAATGGTGTGATCACACAATACTAGTTTTGAAGACTTAAAATTATTTAAAACGTGAATAAAAATAATTAAACAGGTTACTTAACAAGTGCCACCATTATTATTAATAAAGAGAAGTCTGAGAAGTAAATTTAATATATTTCATCAGTAAATATCATATGATTGCAGCTATAGTAGATTTAAGGAGATAAATGTCAAAACGTTAGGTATAAATTGCAAATTTATGCTCAAACACCTCTATTCATATTTTTATAATGAATATTTTGGTAGAGACCTATTCCACTCTAAAAAAATTTAGTTAGTTTTGATAAACTTTAGGGTCCAAATCTTTTTTACCCGACTATAGGCATGGGGCTAATAGAAACGAATACGGTATAATATGTTAGTGTAGAAGATTGCTCGGTATACTAAAGAGTGATAATTTCGGTGTCTATATTTCAAAGACTCAAAAATTAACCGACTCTGTTTTCCCAATCCACACGGTGAGGTCCACTACTAACACTACAGATATTAAGTGTAAATTTACACTAACTGTACAGTACTAATTATAAATTGAGAGTAACTAAATGTACATTTATAGAAACTGTATATTTTCAGTACCTTACGGAAAATTACTGTAAATTACTGTAAATTACTGTAAATTACTGTAAATTACTGTAAATTACTGTAAATTACTGTAAATTACTGTAAATTACTGTAAATTACTGTAAATTACTGTAAATTACTGTAAATTACTGTAAATTACTGTAAATTACTGTAAATTACTGTAAATTACTGTAAATTACTGTAAATTACTGTAAATTACTGTAAATTACTGTAAATTACTGTAAATTACTGTAAATTACTGTAAATTACTGTAAATTACTGTAAATTACTGTAAATTACTGTAAATTACTGTAAATTACTGTAAATTACTGTAAATTAATGTAAATTACTGTAAATTACTGTAAATTACTGTAAATTACTGTAAATTACTGCAAATTACAGTAAATTACTGTTAATTACTGTTAATTACTCATAATTACTGTTAATTATGGTACATTACTGTAAGTTACTGTAAATTACTGTATATTACTCTAAATATTCAAATAATAATTGTGAATTTTGATAAATATGGAATCTTTTAGATGTTTTATTTGCACACTTACTGATTTAATACGTATGAAAGAATAATATTTTGTAAAACTAAAACGGTTATAAAATGTTTTTGCAGAAAAATTAATATTAGTGTATTTACACTTAATACCTGAAGCTTTAAAATATTTATTTATAATTGTTCCTCATCTGACTGCAAACAGTGGCACGTCGTCTTTTGTGCTTGTTCCAGAAGAGGGGATGAGAAATTCAAAAATTGCTTTGCAGTCATTTTCTGTCGTCTAATTTTGCTACTTCCGGTGTAGGGATTTCGGTCACATGATCGAATATTTGTTTTTCAACAAAATTCGGGAAATAGCTTAAACTCGTTTTTTCTGAATCTAAGAGCATTTGCAAGCATTTTGTTGTGTCGGCAAGAGTTGATATGCAAAATGCAACCTGGGGAAAAGTGAACTGTTTTTTGAACTGGGTGTAATATCGGAACCAAAAGTCGAAACGTGGTTTAATTGCTCTCAAAATGTTTGTATGACTCTTAAGAGTATTGCCTTTGCAAGCATTTTTAATTCTGTAGCAGCCTTTTTTATGCTTTGTTTCCGTAAATCAAGTAAATTGCGGCCAACATATTGAATTTTTTTTTTCAAAACCCTGGGTGAATAAAAGGTGTAGTCGTACAAACATTTTGAAAGCAATTAAATTACTTTTCGACTTTACACCTATTTCAAAAAACAGGTTGCAATTTTTTTTATATAATTTATAAGAACGCGTTTAAGCTATATA